TCGTCCGACGCGCAGTCAGGGTTTTTTTGAGGTGCAGAACCTCTGCGTGGGGGGCGTGGCCGCACTGAGAAGGATTTGACGGTTGCAGAGGCTATGCGTCAGAAGCATAAATTGGCCTTTAGACAGACCTTATTGTACTTGCTATAAAAAAATCATATTTTGTTTTGTATAGCTCTCATAACATTTTCATTTCTCAAAGTGCAGCAGTGATCAAATGTAAAATTGGGAGAGAAAAACATGGTGCAAAAAATCCCTTCATTGATATAATCAGTTTGATGCAGAGACTGGGACATGATTTAAATCTTTTTTTTTTCAACATTCAGCTTTTTTCCATTTTTTTTTTCTTTCATTTTTTCAATTTTAGTGGTGTTAAGCATAAAAAAAAAAGTATCTTAACATATAGCATCTTGTAATTCATTAATCTTAATCAATAGCATCCTTTTAATTTGATTCAATAAACAGTGTTTAATCATTAATAAATAAATAAAAAAAATCATTTCTACTATGGTGGAAATCGGCTACTTCAGTTTAGGGAAAACTGGAATATCACGGCTGGTCTTTCACGCTGTGCTTCATCCAACCTTAAAGGGTTCAGATCCATTTAAATTCAGGTGTTAATGCAAGAAATCCAGCAGATTTTCACTCCTCTAAAATCACAACCCAGAATCTGTGGCAGAAACTGATGATGATGAGGTGTTCCTCCCTCAACGCCTCTAAGCACCAACGAAAATCATTTCAAAAGCCTTTCATGAGCTACAAGAAGCATTTTTATTAAAGTAATACCAATAAAGAGGCTTTCACTCCCTTTTTTAAGAGTTTAAATTGTTTTTAACAGCCTAATTTTGTTTGAACAGAAACACCATTTCAGCCAAACTAATTCTCCTTATTTCTCTCTTCGGTATTGAGCTGAACCAATTCAGCCAGTCTGAAAGGAGCTGGATAAAATAATGAGATCATTTAGCAAAGATGCACGTTACATTATAATGAAAGCAAAGAAGCAGCTCTAATAACTCTCATATGGGTGTAAATAAAGTGCAACCTTTTCTTTTTGTTGGCTTTATCAGCTCTTTCTCTTCACCTAAATATATAAAAAATATGTTTTGTTATGGAGAAACAGCTTTGTGACTTTGGGTTAATGTTCTACTCTACATTTTAAGCCAATTAGATAGCTTCAGTTGTTCAAGTATCCAGAAATCAGTTCAAAATGTATGTTTTGCCATCTTTTAACCTTTGCAGAGAGAAATCAGGTGTTGCCAAAGCTCTGGTAAAAAGTGCAGCTTCTTAGAAACTTTTTTGGGAGAAGGTGATTTTGATTTTCACACAATACTTTACAAATTTGGAGATATGTTAAAGGGTAGCCCTTTTCAAATGCATATAAAAAAGATCTGTATATCAGCCTTGTATGGAGTAACTCTTCATACCTTTTGTGGTAGACGCAGAGGCAAGCCAGCCTAGCGATGGTCTCCCCCTGCACCAGATCCTCCAAACAGATAGAGCACTCTCCGCTGTCCTTACTGAGCACGTCCGCTGTAAATAAAACGCAGACAAATGAACGGCGGGTGTCATCAGCTTTTAAAAAAAGCAACAGAAGCACAGCTGCTGGGGCGCTGCGTTACGAGACGCTTACTGTTGTAAGGTAGTGGAGGAGAGGTGAGGCAGCTCATCAGGTGATCCTCGATCCGACCGCCTGGGAAAGGCTTGGAGCAGAAAGGACAGCGGATATCTGCAGAGGGGAGAGCTCAGATTAGCACACCTCGTCAGGCAGAGACATAGAAACGGTACATGACGGAGCATGTTTGGCGTTTGGACATGCAGGCAGCATGAAGCTAGCACCGAGGAGCAGATAAAACCACAAACCGTCGAAATGAATTGAGCCACAGAGCTGAAGATGTGAGCTCCAGTTAGGCTGACCTGAAATGGCTTGGTTTGACTGTAAGCATCAGCATGAAACAGTGAGTCACGCCTCAGGGAAAGCCTCCGACGGGCCATTCATGGATGTGACAGTCAGGCAGAAACAGCGCCTTGCTGCCCTACATCCCCTCCTCCTCCTCCATCCATGAGCCGCTGCCAGCAGTGAGGCAGCATGTCAAGTTGTGACCCATTTCCCTACACTTGCTGAAGGGCTGGCCTGGGATACTTACCACACTGTAGTGTTGGGGATGAAAATGTCACGCTTTCAGTCACAACAAGCACCATCTGCTCATATCCGATTATCCAACGCTGCCATCAACCCTTCTGCAAACACATCTTCCCTTTTTCAAAAGGAGAACAACGCTTGGTTGCTTAATGTTCTTTTTTAATATATTTATATACTTTCAGTGGAGGGGGATTAGAAAGAACGACCCCTGTCACACAGACTGGGGATGTGAACGAGCTTGTGTGTCACCACTTATGGTTTTACGCCAATGCTCTGCTGCAGACAAAGGGGTCTCTGATGATTTTAGCCAGCATGCAAGCACAAGAGAAGAGATTATGTGTGCAGGAATGTAAATTCCTCAAATAATCCATTTCAGCTTCAGAGTATAATTGAACTGAAATACGCAATTAGTTCAATCGAGCAATGTAATCTATAGGATTAAATACTCATGATAGTTTATTAGAAAATAATATTATACATAGCCCTCTAAATATTTCTTAAAGCAAAGCAGAAAGCATGATTGGAGAATCTTTCCTTTTTAATACGGTTATAGAAATATTTCCTTTGAGTTTTTATTTGCCTTTTGTGTTTTATTATTTCTTAAGTTAAATAATGAGGATTTCAGTTTTAAACCTGCATATAAACGTACATAAATATGGTTAAACCTGCTGCATTAATCGATGGACTGAAATGATCAGGCGGATGCTTTGTCAACTTTTCAATAAAAACATTGAAATACATTGTTTTCTTTTAGCATACCTTCATTTTTGTAGTTAATTAGATAAATTAATCCTATGCTACAAATCAACATTGTCATTTTTATAACTTGTAGGGAATATTTCACTGTTATGTAACCACCATAAACATTGGAAACTTCTTACATATCAACATCATCTGATGTTGAGCAATCTGTGCCAAAACACTAGTCAGGGATTTAAATAAGAGCAAGTCAGTATTTTCTTATTTTATCCTCTAAAAGCATTAAAACTAGAGATGGTTACCTTAGAGATTAACCAATCACAGAGCAGGGTTCATTAGTGTTGGATCAGATTGGTCATAATCTCGTCAAATACAGAATATTTTAATTTTTTGTTACCATTTTTTATGAAAACAACTCAAAAGTAAAAACTTTCAGTTTTTAATTTTAACAACCAGCATTTACTTTAATGTACTTTTATACATTTATTTGAAAGAAAATAAGTCTAATAAAAGGATTTAAACTGATCCATATATTATTTATTTCTTTTTTTTATATATTTTAAACTGTCGAAATAGACAGATGAGGCCTAAAAAGATAACTTAACATCCTGATCGGTGTTTATATTAAATAAAAACACATTAACAGACATTCCTCTAAGGTGTTTTACTTACTGCCATGTCGGTTGTTAACGCGGTAGAGGCCGATCCAAGCCTCAGACACCGGCCGCTGGTGAGAGCCTCGGACCCGGGCTGATCTATTACCGACGCTGCGGGATGAGGAGTGCCGATTCCCGGGGAGCCGCTCGGAGAACGTGCGGTGGGGCGCGCGGCCTGTTTCCTCCCCGGCTTGGCGCTCTGCTTCCGCGGGGGCCTCCGGGCTCAGGCCGCCGTCCTCCTCGGGTTTCCCCTCGCTGCTGCTGTTGTCGTCCACCGGCGACGCTGGGCTGATCCCGGAGGGTAACCCGCGGTGATCGGCGGGGCTGCCGTCGGCGCTCGCCCCTCCATGCTGCCCGAGGTCCGAGTCGCTGCCTTCCTCCGATCGGCTCCGGTTGGGCTCCGTTTCCTCGAAGCTAACCGAGAAATCCACGACGAGGCTAGTGGGCCTGGCACACCGGGCTCTGCGATAGGAATCCCGCTTTGTGGAGTCTTTCCCGAAGGGAGAGGTAACCGGGTCCTCCTGGAGGCGACTCGGTCTGGTTCCCATGTCTGGTAGCAGCAGGCTGGCTAAACGCAGGCGGATTCAGCGCAAAGGGGAACGGACGCGTTCACCTCAAAACGACCCTTAATCGGTTCAATCTGCCTCCTCGATAAAAAGCTCACTTAGTAACGGAGGTCTATTAAAAACAAACCCAGAATCGTTAGAATCGGTGAAGATGTTCGCTGTCCGGGCCTCAGTTCGTCCTCTCCGACCGCATTTTACTTTTATTTTTCACTTGACCGTTGTAGCTGCTGCAGCGGAAATGAGGCAGTTTCGCTTCCTCTTTAAACTGCGCACACACAAACAGTTACGGCATCGTGACGTAGTCATTTTATTAAGTTAACTTTAAAAACAAAAAAAGTAGTTAAAACAAAAACAACGTATGAAGCGGCATCATAAACATAAACAAATAAAAACATAAAAATTAATTTATAAAAAGGAAAATACCAACTGAACGACCCCCCCCCCCCCAAGTGATAAATAGAACAGGCCAAAACTGATAGAAATTGCATTTTTATTTTGAATTAGACGTTAAAAATGTTCAGAAACATAAAAAAAATAGTGGATATGCTTAATTTCACTAGAATGTATTAAAACCAATTCACAATGGAGTCCAAAGGTGAGTATGTGGGGCCCTCTGGAGTGAGCAGATGCACCTGCCTCTCTGATAACCCTCCTCATTTTCCCTTGATCGTGTCTATTTATGTCCACATCTTTCTAGTCTTCACCTTACCTTAAAGCAGGGGTCTTCAACGTTTTCCAGGCCAAGGACCCCAAACTGATCGCAAGATGGAGCGGGGAACCCCTAATTATATATAATGTATGAAATTGTGTGATATCAAACTGGTCCTATAGTCACTCTATTACATATGGAGTAATGTAACCAAAGTAATTTCTCCCTGGGATTATTAAAGTATTTCTGATTCTGATTCCTGGTTGATGGGACAGGTGTTGTGAATGAAACGGTGCCCAGCTTTAAGAGCTCCTGTTTGTCGCGGAATGTGTGCATTGATGACTGAAAGACATCTTCTGCCTCCATTAATCTGTTTACTACAGTGTGTTGAATTTATGTTAATGTGGATTTAAAGACATTTCAATTAGTGCAAAAAACTGCATAAGGGAGTATAAAAAAGTCTAATCAACCATAACTTTTGCGACCCCCATGCGGTACCTACGTGGACCCCTTAGGGGTCGCGGACCCCCTGTTGAAGACCTCCGCCTTAAAAGAAAAGTCAGATCAGCAAGGAATAACCAATGGATCATTATTTATATCTAAAACTAATAAGTTTGTGGTGATTTAATGAATTTAGGGTTAATCAGTAAAAAAAATGAAAAAAAAATTCGCCCTGATCACTGAGTCTGACATCTTCTGGCAGTAACGTCCCGGTGCGGTAAGCCTAGCGCCATTCTCCCCGCTTTACAAGCAAAACCAATGGGAACGACTAGAAACATCTGCAATCAACAACAGTTGCTTATGATTTCCAGAAGACGTCACTATTGAAATTCACCAGAGCTATAATTAAACTGATGATGCCCACTTTCATGGCAGTTGGTAATACATCGCATAAAAGTTAAAAAAAAAAGTTATTTCACCTTTCTGATTCCTGATCCTCCACGGACGGGTTCGTCATTGGATTGCCAACGTGAAGAGGGAGGATTTGCCATCGAACATCTGGCCAGAGAAAAAACACGCAATATGTAGCCAACATTTGGAAAAAGAATGATTCAAGATGACTTGGTTAATAGCGCGTTGTGACAAACACCAGATACAGCACTGGGACTTGCTCAACAGCCGATACCGCACCGTGACGTCACAAACCAGTAGGTGGCAGTAGTGTTCTTTGACAATATGAATGTCTTTAGTAAAGCACAATCAAATGAAATTACTCTTAATTAAAGTCACTTATCATTTATTGAACAGTATGTAATAATTTCACACTTAGTGCTTTCAGAAGTTTGTACTCTGAATGTGACCAGACTAGAAACAGATCCGTTCCACTGATTGTGTATACTGTCTGCCTTCCTAGTTCCTGAGCTTGCCATGCCCTCATTGGACACTTTCCAGATTTTGACTCTAGTCACATCCTGGACTGTCTTTGCCCAGTCTGTCACCAGTCTGTTATCTGCTTCCAGACAGTTCAGTCATTCACCAGTCTGTTTAGCTATAATCTGGTTTCTTCAAGTCTCTCAATCATCATCAGCCCCCTCAAGCCAACCTGTTTAAACGCCTGTCTACATTTGCAGTCCAATATCACAGACCCGTAATAAACATTTTAAGCACAGAGCTGTGTCTGGCTGATCATTGGGTTATCAGAAATGTCTCATAACACATTCATACTAAGCCTTTTTTCTTTTTGAGACCTGAATAAAACCCAGGCCAATCTTTTGTCTCCAGAAGACACCTAATGACTGTAATAATAATTGAATTTTATTGATCTCATAACTGATAAATGTACCTCCTCATTTACCCCATCCCTTGGGGAGCAGTTGGCTGCCATTGTGCAGCGCCCGGGCTGCAGTGTGGGGTTAAAGGTCTTGCTCAGGGAATCAGAGTGGCAGTCTGTGAGAGTGGGGCTCGATGTCAGAACCTCAGGATTCCAAGCTCTATGCCCTAACCACTAGGACGTCACTCCCCACATAACATCTATATGTTTCTCTGAAGGCATCAAAGCTTTTACAGAAAACCTTTATGATCAACAAACATTTGANCACTCCCCACATAACATCTATATGTTTCTCTGAAGGCATCAAAGCTTTTACAGAAAACCTTTATGATCAACAAACATTTGAAACCGGTGTGCAAAATATTCTAAGAGGAAAACTGAAAAATTTCATTTCTTATAGCTATTTTTCTTGACTATGGTTCTCTATATGAGTAATATTCTAAATGATCCGTGCTGATACATTGGAAGGAATAATAATGCGGATATATGTAAATTTAAGGCCTATATCTTTCTTTGCAAGAAATTTTTCTGAGGAAAAAAGTTCTTGGCAATAAGTTGAAGTTGTACAGGTTGGTTCTGGTGCTACTTCCGGTTTGGATTCACCATAATCACTTTTTATTATCTTTTAAAGACTAAATACTACATTCTTCAGCTGAGTAAGATATTAACACCAGAAACTACAAACACCTGAGTTTATTTGATAAATCAGAACCTCATAATTTCAGTTTCATTTTAGATTTTTGCGTTTCTCCTGTACCATGATCCACAAGTCTGTGTAACTAGAGGGGATCTAACGTCACTGAAGATGAGGCTCCAAGGAAAATTTAACATCTTTTACTGAGTTTACCAAAGCTCCAAGCATGGTGATTTGTTGTTTTTTATTTACTTATTATGGTAAACTAGATGTAGGAATAATTATTCTTATGTGTCCTTGTCTAGAAGCTGCTGTGTGCAGATCCATGCTCTCCCTCCTTGTTCCCTCTGCTGAAACAGCAATCAAGATCTGAGTGGAGGTACCCTATATATGTTCCTGGCTAGCCCAGTGGGTAACCGATTCTGCTAAACAGATTCTTGAAACCCATTTTCTCTAAGTAGCATTTCTAGCTTTGATCTCCTGCTGTTGACCTGTCTTGTTCCTGTCTTCTTTTTCCTGCATGGTCCCTGTCAGATACTCCTGCAGGCTTCTGATCTGTGGACATCAACCTCCTGCCCTGTCTCTGGATCCGGTTTGTTGACCTTGTCCCCTGACTATTGCGTATGACCCTGGATCTACCTCTGTCTTTCTGAAACCCTATCCCAGGTTAATGTGCTTCCTGTTACTGAGTCTATTGCATGTCGATCCCTCTCCCATCTAGCCCTACTGGAGACCTTTGCTTCATGAACCCTTTCCCTTTGTATGACTCCCGAACTGACCTAAAATTACCCCTCTAGCATTTGCTTTGTCTGGTACTATAAGGACTTGGATCAGTTAATCATGGATTCAAATGATCCAAACACAGCCAATGGAATCAGTCCTTAGAGCCAATGCAATCTTCCAGCAGCTGAGAAGGTTAGCTGCTTTTATTCATTACTTTTAACAACACTAAGATGTTCC